GGACCTGCGAGGTCGAGCCGACCTCGGGCGAAGTCCGTAACGTTGTCTCTTCCGACCTCAACAATACGCCGCATTTTTAGGGTGTGTCAGAGTTCCTGTCGGACCTAGTTTCTATAAATGGAAACTCTTGCCTTAAATGCAAGGTACGCAATCCTAGATAAAATCGGCGAGTTATCTTGGATTAGAACTAACTTGCGGAATGCTAACTTTGTTTTGCAGGTCTGCTCTGGAAATGAGTTGAACAGTTGGCCAATAGCTCATCCCTATACCATCCGATCTACTATCCATCCGAGTTCGGTGATTTCGAGCTCAAACAATACTTTTAACTATAAATTTTGAGTTTAGTTCCATTTGGTCCATAAATTTCAAAATGTTTTACACTTTTACTTATGAATTTTGCGTTTAGTTCCCATTTGATTCTTAAATTTCAGAGTTTTAACATTTTTTTCTTTGAATTTTGAGTTTTCAGTTATGCACACTTTCTTTTAAATAGTTACGCACAKTTTAGATCTTTAACATTATAAAAATATCTAAGATAAAATATATTTTTAGTTCCTGATTTTGAAAATACAATTTTATTAAATGAGCATTGCATATGACTTTCAAGGACAATTGTCACCACCCTATTTCATTACACTTAAAAAAAGACCCTACAGATTGAAATGTCATAAAAATAAATATCTTTACATGTGACCAAATAAATTATAAAAATTAATATTAAATGGATTTATTTGCATTATATTATATAGTTAGCATTATGCTAGGATTATTATCCATTCTACTATGTCAGGACCAAAAGTGAGCATGAATAAGAACATAGGAGAAAAAGTGTAATATTTTGAAACAGGGATATTAGAGGAAACTAAATTCAAAACTCAATAATAAAATTGTAACACATTTTAAAAGCTACGGACCATATAGAAATTAAATTCAAATTTGAGCCACGAAAATGTTTTATTTTCCTAAAAAGAAAAAATAGGAATCAATGGTAAGCCACATCTTCAACATTCAATTACTTTTATTATTTATTATTTAAACATAAAATTTAAAATCTAAAGGGGTGTCTCGGGGTTGGATTCAGCTTAGGGTGGGTTCCTAAGTTTTGGGGAGGAGTAGGAGTTGTCAAACCCGAGTTTAGTTGGAGAAACCAACAAGCTTTGAATAGTAGCTCATGAGTTCAAGCCCCTCGCACATAATTTTATCTTAAACTCATACTTAAACGAGTACACTAACATAGTTTTTCCAAATTTAAACTTTCTAAACTCTCCACTAACATAATTTAATTACATTTTTAGTCTCTAAATTTTTAGGTGGGTGTCTAATAGGTTTCGAAACTTTAAAAGTGTTTAATAAGTCCTTAAACTTCCAACTTCATATCTAACAACTATTTGCACTATAAAAAATGTCTAATAAACCTTTAAATTTTTAATTTTTAACTCCATATCTAACAACTATTTGCACTATAAAAAATGTCTAATAAACCTTTAAATTTTTAATTTTTAACTCCTTGAACTTTCAATATTCTGTTTAATAGATCTCTGATCTCATTCACATTTTTTAAAATGTACGATTTTATCAGATACAAAATCGAAATATAAAAATAAAATTTATTTTTAATAGCTCCATTAATTTTTAAAATGTTGATTATATTAGGGACTTATTGTACATAAAATTTAAAATTTTTAAATTTTACGACCTAATAGACATACAGTTGAAATTTCGACACTTTTAAAATTCATAAATAAACAACAAATTTAACTGTTATGGCTGAATGTTATGTTGTTTAAATTTTAGTCTAACAATAATATTAGTTTTTTATATATAATTTTTGTTGAAGAATTAAAATAGGCAATAATATCGTGAGAGGATCGGAGAGCTAATATTGGGTCGGGTGCATTCAGGATCTTCGAGTGGATACCATAGTGGGCCGAATTTGTCCAATAGGTTCGGCCCATTAGGGATGACCCAAAATGGACCTATTATTCTTAATGGGCCCAATTCGTAAGCCCCCATCGATGTCCACAATAATTTTATTTTATTCTTTTTGTTTCTTTGTAAAACATAAAAAAAGTATAATTTTTAAATAATAATTGCAAATACAGTAATGTTTTAAGTTGGCAAATCATTAGTAATATAAATAATAATCACAAATATAGCAATGTTTTAAGTTGGCAAATCATTAATAATTTCTTTTTCAAGAGAATCGTTAATGAACAAATAATAATAATCACTATTTTTTTTGAAAAGAAATAATAATTACTAATTTGAGCGAAAAACAAAACATTTAAGGTTGAAAATTCAATTCTCCCTCCCATATTTAATGATTTTTTATAATATTTTTACTTCTCTTAGAACTACGTTTAAATTTTCAAAATTTGGAGTATTTGAAAATGATTTTAAAATTAAACAACAAAAAAATAAATATACACACGTGTAACTAATATTTATAAGCTTATTCTTTAAAAATATAAAACAAAAGAAAAATATTAATAAAATATGGCTTTTTGAGTTCCCTTAAGACTCCATTTTGCATGAATGAAGTTACTTTCCTGATATATGTGTCGGTGGCTCATACTTTTTACCGAAATTTAGAGGGAAAAAAATAGAAACTTTTATTTTACAATCAACAATATGAAGGTGGAGGTTTGAGCATTTGATAATAAATATATAATATCCCAACTAATTCAGCCGTATACAATTTAGTATTATATTTTAAATAAATAAATGGTATGTTCTTCTTCGATATATTATTTTGGTTAAATATACGTATTTTTTAGTACAATATATAGAGGTGAGAATTTGACTTATAACCTTTTGGTCGAAAATATATATCAATTGTCATTGAATTATACTAATTTTGGCAGTTAAAGATATATTTTAGTCCTTATGGTTTAAAAAATTTTAATTTAGTCTCCCACATTTTTGGTAATGTTGAAACTACTTGATAATAAGCTTATATGATATAATAATTAAAGTGAATCGGTGCAAATTTAGAGGAAGAAAAAGTTATCCAATAAGAAAAGTTCATTTATTTTTTCTTCTCTTGATAGCATGTGTTTGGGGAAGATTATACCCTGGACACGTGGAGGACCCCTATTAGTGCTCCAAGATGACTCATGAGTCATGCCCAGCTCGGAYCGCCGAGATCACCACCACTAGCGTTGACAGATGCTAAGTATGAGAGCCGAGGTGAACCTGGCCGAGGTCCGATCTACCGGGAAGCTCGGTGGGGGCCGATGTGAGCTACTGTCAGCGGCGTGATTATCAGGTGTAACCGTCGGTCCCGAGACTACCGGGTGTAACCGACGGTCCTGAGATTACCGGGTGTAACCGTCGCGAGATTAGCGGGACTACCACCCATAAGTAGAGGACCTCACTCCACGATCAGGTACGATGATTTCTGACCTCGAACTAAACTGGGAATCCGACCTATATTGACTTGATCGTCGGAGTGCTCACNAAACGTAAGGTATGACCTGAAGGATTGGGGGTATTTATAGCTCGTCGGAAAAATTTCCCCACCGTACACGTGTAATCAACGAGCGGCTAGGATCCTCCCGAAGATCCGAAGCGTCGGAATATTTGAATATTCCGACGATAAATCCACCGCAACGGTTATATTTTCCCACGAATAGGAAGTCGCCACGCGTCCAAAGCAAGTGGAATGAACTTCTCTGCCAGGTCGAGATCGGACCAGACAGAGAGGGGGCCAATGTTTGGGGAAGAGAATACCCTGGACACGTGGAGGACCCCTATTGGTGCTCCAAGATGACTCATGAGTCATGCGTAGCTCGGACCGCCGAGATCACCACCACTAGCGTTGACAGATGCTAAGTATGAGGGCCGAGGTGAACCTGGCCGAGGTCCGATCTATCGGGAAACTTGGTGGGGGCCGATGTGAGCTACTGTCAGCGGCGTGATTATCGTGTGTAACCGTCAGTCCCGAGATTACCGGGTGTAACCGACGGTCCCGAGATTACCAGGTGTAACCGTCGCGAGATTAGCGGGACTACCACCCACAAGTAGAGGACCTCACTCCACGATCACGTATGATGATTTCTGACCTCGAACTAAACTGGGAATCCGACCTATACTGACTTGATCGTCGGAGTGCTCACCTTTTTGTGCAGGTCCGCCCAAGTATTCAGATCGGTCCGGAGGCCGAGTTCGAGCTGCACTCAGAAATACACTATTGTGCATATCCTTGCATAAACAGCATGTTTTCTTCAAGTTTCAAAGTCATGTGAGTTTATCATTAGCCGGTTCTACCGTTTGTTGATAGTAAGGTGCTAATTGAAAAATGTTAAAATATAAAAGAATTAATAGAGAGCAACATATATGTTTAAATATTACTTTGGTCCATTTAATTTCGGGTTGGTTTATTTTTTCATATATTTTAAAAAAATTTATCATTTTGGTCCTTTTATTTTTATTTTTAATTATAATTTGAACATGACACTTCACCTATTTTTATTTTTATTTTTAGTACATGGTGGAAGGATTCAAACTCACGACTTTCTAATCGCATATAGGTGTCTTAGTCCATTGGACTTACTAAATTTCTTAAAATGCATCAATAAATTTATATTAAAGTGTTTTCGATATGTAAAAAAATTGTGTTAAATTTTTACAAATTGTAATCAAATTAGTCACTTCCTAAACAAGTACAATGACCGAAATGAATATTTAAACAACTTTGGAAGACATCGTCGAGTTTGATTTGGAAGACTAGTAATCAGATACAATTTGTCCCATACTCAATCCAAATTGACTTTTATTCAGATCTTCACCTCCAAAGGTAAATTATAAAGACTCAAAATAAACCAAAGTTGAAAGGTAAATTATAAAGACTCAAAATAAATCAAAGTTGAAATTACATTGTAAAAATGTTTGATTAAGGAATTAAAATAAATAAAAGTCAAAACCAAAATAGTATTAATAATCTAAAATGTATGTGTAGTTTTATTTATTTATTTATTTGTTGAGTTCTTGAACAATTGGTTGGATGGGGATTTGCAAAAAGTTGAATTGGCAATTCGGTTGATTATATTCTTTTATACAAATTGGCATTTGACCTCAAGACTAAATTTGAAAGATTTTCAGTGATCAAAATAATCGATTGAACAGTTGTTCGAAATTTTGTGCATGGCCTCTTTAGCAAAACTTCTTCGGCCGCTCCCCAGAGCTTTCGTCTTCGCTTCATCGTCGTCGTCTTCTTCTTCTTCGTTCTTCAATTCCGCAAGATTCTGTATGCTTTTATGCTATATTTACTTTCTGATTGTTTTTCTTATTCGTTTGTTTCGTCTGATTGCTGTATCATTTCCAATTGCAGCCTGCACCAGATTTGAGCCCTCGAAATCGTTTCCGAAGAACTTCGGATCACTACTCTGCAACCGCGTTTCCAATTTCAGATTTAAAATTTCCGATACAATTTACCTGCGGCGGAAGTGTCTTTTGGTAGGCAAGTTCGTTTTCTTCAACTCTTGATGTTTTCGACGATCTGCTGAATTTCAAGTCTATCTGTATAACTGAATTTCAAGTTTATCTCTTGACTGCCGCTGTATCACTAATTTTCTAGTTTGGGTTCTTATGCACTGTGGAATAGGAACTTTGAAAGGGTGTGTCGTGTAGAGTGGTTGCTACTTTCTGAACTTCAGCCTATTCTATTTAGAATTTGAAACGTAATTAGGGTAATTTTGGGACGAGTCTGAAAAAACTGCTTATAGAAGTGCTTCTCCTATCAGCAATGTAAGTTGTTCATCTTCTAAAATGTCATCCAAACTCACTCTTATTGGGATGTATTGAGTCTCAATTTTCATCTTATGGTCAATGAATTTTATTATACTGTTTGATTACCCACTAATTATAAAAAATTTACTCTTTAGTTGGAGGGAATTTGATTATTTAAATTATTCCCAACATTTCCCCTCACAACGAACTTTGCTCAACAATCTCTGGCTCCATGTTGGATTTTCACTGATATAGAAAGGGTTACATAAAAGTCCTATTGTGTTTTTGATTTAAAATCTTACAAGTTTTCTTAGCAATCAAATATGGTAGAGTCAAGTGGCTGTGCCGTAATATTAGTTAAGGTGCGTATTAGTTAGCTCCGACGGAGAGAACAAAAACTCCTAGAATCCAGTTGATCTATGTACAAAAACTCCTGAAAGATTCTTCTATTTCTTTCCTTCCATAAGAACCGCAAGCTGTGCATAAGACATTCTTCCTCCAAACGTTAATCTTTTCTTTGAGGGGAAACACATCTGCTGTCTCCACCAATCTCCATTTGCGGAAAACTTAGTAAAAGTCAGCAAGGGAGCTGCCTTGGAGGCTTGCACTAAGTTTTTGCAGATTACAAGTGTGGTTTTATTAGTTAATATATGTAGATTTAGTTTAATTGTGCTAGAGGTATTCCTTCATTAAGGGAATAATTGGATGTAGCATAACATTACTTCTTTGTGCTTCATTTATGTGCTGGTGTTGATTGATGACATGGTTGGTGCTATCAAATTCTTCTTATCCTTTTTCTACAGTACTGATGAAAAGGAAAATTTTAACAGGAAGTCAGTTAAGTAGGGGAACCATTCTGGGTGCATCCGTTGTTTCTGGATCAATCAGTTTGTGGCCCAATGTTTCATTGGCTATGGATGGTGAGCAGAAATCTTGACTTATGTTTGTATGTTAGCCTCCCTTGCCCTTGGATGAAATTTGGTCCTTAGAGGCTGTGTTTATTTGGGCCTTTACCTTAAATAATTTTCAATAGGTCTTCAAACTTTTAATATTATGTCTATACAAGTCTCCACACTTAAAAAAGTTTCTAATAGTTCCCTAAATTTTCTTGCGTCTAATAGGTTTCTACTGTCAAATATGTAGTTTAACATTTAAGTTGCACGCTGAATGTATTATTTAAGGATTATGCGGTGGACTGATTTTTCAGGCAATTCCAGGCATTTTGGTGGTGCAAATGTTAAATTTACATAATTAGTGAGAAAAACGAATGTGACATGAAATTGAAAATTTAGGGGCCTAATTGAGTATTTTTAAAGTATATATGTAATAAATATGACCTTTAAAGTTTGTGTCCTATTAGAAATAGTACAAGGACTAAATTAAACACAAACGTAAAAGTTTTACTACCAAACTTACAATTTTAACCCTATTTTAGCACTCATTTTTTCTTTAACAAATTAATGCAGACGGATTCATGGATGATCGCCAAGACGATTTAGATGCATTAGATAATGGAAAACCTGAAGGAACCTTGTGGGAATTAGCATTAAGACTCTGGTTGCCTTTTCTTTTCTGTTGGACTGTGTTGACGAACTTGAATCATCCTCTTCTGGTTGCGAGCAAAGTGATCCTATTCCTTCTTAGCACAAAACCCAGTCCTCTCTCTGTTTACATTTTTGTGGAGCAGGTTAGTTGAAGTTTTATCTTCTTGTATCTGACATGAGATGACATATTATTTTACAGTATTTTGATTACAAGTTTCAAATTGTTTCAGCTTTGCCACTCTTCATGCCAGGAGCCTCGTCTCTCCAATGAGAAGAAGGTACATATCTTATTGCATCTTGCGTCGTAAAATTCTTACTAACTGATGTAAAGCATGTGACATGATTGTTCTTACATTCTTAAAAGAAATATGAGATTTAGTTGGTAATGACATTGTTCTATGTTACTCAGAGATCCGAGTGTGTGTTAAGAGTAATTTTAGGCTGTGGTTGAGATCTTTAATCTCTGTTAAGGAAAACGGTCAATTAGGCATATGAAATTCTGCACACAGAAACTGAGGAGTTGGTTTGGCTGATAACATTTTTGTTTCTTTTGTTTTCAATTTTTGAAAACATGAGTGCTTGGTATCAGTTCTTATTTCTCTTTTTAAGTAACATTCATCGATGCGTTTGTTGGAGATCTTTGTTGTAGCTCCTTTGCCCTCGGCGTATTATGCCATTCATCAATGAAATTGTTTTCCTTTTTCATCGAGCGAAACCAAAATGAGTACAGGTGATTTAACAGATTTGATGATGTGCAAATGCAGTGTGTGGTTGCAAGTAAAGTGGAAGTCCAAGACTACAAGGTTGCGTGTGTGGCCAGAGTCGAAATAGAACATCAAAAGATCACTCTGCTGGGAATTCTTGGAGGTTGGTGGGAATTGCCACCCCCTTCATATACTGCTCATCAGTTCAATGTTTTCTTGGATAAATTAGTTCTTCAACCCGCCACTTTTTCTCTGTAAGAAATAAATTTAATAGTATAATTTTTATATTGTATTATATATATCTGTTATCGACTTTAAATATCGGTTTCTAAATTTTAAAAAGACTAGTAGATTTTTAAACTTTTAATTTTGTGTTTAATAGTTTATGTAATTTTAAAAATTGTCTAATAAGTTAGGGATCTTTGTTCATGAAACTATTAGATATAAAATTAGAAGTTTAAGAACCTACTACACAATATTGGGACTTTAAAGGTCCTATGAAATATTTTTAAAATTCAAATAATAGAAGAAAGGAGAGAACCTTCTAAAAGTCGTAGAAAATAGGATTTTGTGTAATAAGTTTATGATACTCAGCATCCCTGTCAAAAAATAATTGCACTTTCCAGCCATAAGGTAGATCGGTCGCGACTTCCCTAATACGAAAAAAATTATGCATCATTCTCATACCGGTGGTTGCTTCGAATAGATCATATATTAATTCTCTTTGTCTAGTACATAAAAGTATAGAATTTACACTTTTGTCACGAAACAATCCCTTATTAAATAATTATTAACCTATAGAATTGGTAAATTGGTAAATTGAGAGGTTAAAATCATTAAAATGTGCTGATGATATTTTTCAAAATTAAAAAATCTAAAACCCAAAAAACCATCCATTTTCGAAATCCACCCCTTTCTTCTTTCTCGTTTTTCTTTTCTTCCTCTGACCGTCGGTTTTCTTTCCTCCAACCCTCTGTTCCTCTTCTCCGACTGTCTGTCCCTGTCTGCCTTTCTCTTCGGTCGGCTATGCTTTTCTTTGTTGCAAGAGCATTTCATCTTCGGCCGCCTTCGAAAGGAGATTTTCGTCAGTTCTTATTCTCCGGTCGTTTTTGAAAGCCTTCATCTCCAGCCGACGTACGTCTGCCTGGCTTCATCTCTGGCCGCACTCAGTCGCCATAGCAGTTCATCTCCAGATTGAAAGGTTTGCATTCCAACGGATGTTTTCAATTTTTGATTTCGTGTGAAATAATGTATATGTGAGGATATATAGTATAGTGATTTGATTAAGATATATCTTATAACTCAACTTGTATATATGCGGATATGCGAATATATACTATAGTGGTTTTGAATGTATATATGCGGATATATAAGTGGATATATCTTATAACTCAACTTGTATATATGCGGATATGCGGATATGCGGATATATACTATAGTGATTTTGAATATATATATGCAGATATATAAGTGGATGTATACTGTGATTTTGAATATATTTTTAGAATATGCGGATATATGTTTATTGAGACTTTAAAAGATGTTTATGTGATTTTTAATTGTCCTTGAAGATTGAGCACAAATGTGGGAGTGAATTAAATGAAAATCAATCTCGGAGTAAATTAAGATTTTGAATGAGTGAATTAAGGGATTTGTGTTGAAAATTAAGGGATTATGATAATAATTTATGGAATTAAATCTTTTATATAAAAAAACAAATAAACTATAATAAACGTAAATACAATAAATAAGGGTAAGATGAGAATTAAAATAAAATTCTACATGTAGAAATCTAAAAATAATTTTAGACGTGTAAATAAGTTTATAAAACAGCCCTGYTAAGAAATTATCTTTTTTTTGTTAGGGTCAACTATCTTGCCTGAGACTTTTTCTTCCACCCCACAACATTCATTTCAAAACAGAAAAGAAAGTTAGAGTTAGTGCTCATTGATCCCTTTTATTATTTGAAGTCAATGAATTACTTTCTTGTGATCATCCTACCTAAAAGTTTAGGAACCAATTTTATAATTTAATATTTTTATTTATTTATTTATTTTTTATGTTGATATAGATAGATCAATTGAATTTTAATACACATATATTAATATTGAAATGCATGGCATGCATGAAAAATTAGAGAATTGAATATTTAAAATTTTTTAAAGTTTAGGGACTAAATAAAACATAGTGTATTTTACTTATTCTAGGGACGCGACCATTAAACTTCTACACGATTTATGTGATATTTTCTAAAAAATAAATATGAAAACAAAAATAGTATATGAAAAATAAAGTAGTTTAAAACTTAAAATTACGTGGTTTAGGCAAAATTACTTTTTAAGTGATGAATATTTAATCAAAGGGGTGTAAAATCATCTTCAAGAAAAAAAAAGTATTAAAACTCTCTTTCAAAAGTGGTGTAAAATTGCAAAAAAAAAAAAAGATATGAAATTACATAGATAACTCGATCACTTTTCCAAACGTGTCAATAAAATACAATAAACATATTAGATTAAAATCATCATATTTTCGACATGAAAATATACTTCTTTAAAAATTATAAGACCATTGATATCAAACCAGACTCTAATATTGTTTAGAAAGATCATTCTAATTGATTATTTTTGTTCACGACATAAGAAATTTGGGTAGTCATAAATCTATCTTTTAACAAATACTACAAAAATAGTAGCTAAAAGAAATAATTACAAATATAGCAAAATTGAAATACCGATAAAATAGTGATTATTAGTAATAGGTTAATCAATATTATAGTTTTTTGGCATGTGAAAATAGCAAAAGAGACTTTAAGAGGATTGCTTGATACCAAAATTACAAGAGTTTATATAAATATTTCGGCCAATCAAATGGTGTAGAGTTTAACTGTTATCACTAGTCGATGTACATATAATTTGTCCTTACTATGCACGTGTACACATGAATCAAGATCCTATACCACATTCAGACTTTAATTATCGTTTTTTTTTTCACCAAACGGTGAGTTTCCTTTTTCTTCGAGTATCTCTCTTAGCTAATGGGTTTATTCCGGTAATTGGTTACATTAAATTTCGATCGCCTTTTTTTTCTTATGGAATGATATTGATCACCCATAAAAATTTGATAGTTTTTTAGCTTTTTGAAAAACAGTCCTTTTATTTTTCTCTCATCGTAAAAAATCAATGGCAGTTGGCAAAAAATAGTGTTGACTATTTTTTCTAGAATAAAGGGTTGTACTTGCAATAATTTTTTTTTAAAGAATTATATATTTACGATCAGTACTAGATAAACACATCTTTGCAAAATAATAATAATAATAATAAATCTACATTAAAATTTCAAATCCAGATGGCAACTCATATGGTGGAACGACATGTCGGCATTTAATATCACACGTGTCGGGCATGCAGAGCAGTGGCCTTTCACACGTGCGAATATTATTTATCAATTTGGGGTTGGGTCCTTTCCGTTTGTTCCGAGTCTGCAAATTCCTTCACTTCCTCAAACTCTCTCTTCATCCAGGTTAGTCAAATCTTTAAAAACAGTACTAATTTTATAATGCAAAATTTCACTTTTTTTTTTCTTTTTTTGGGTTTATATTTTCCATAAAAAACATGTTAGCAAAATTGACTTTTAATTTGGTAATTTCATTTCCTTGCTAAAATGATTTTGCATGTTTGTTTATTTTTTCCATCGAAAAAACATAATTGGATAGGCTATACCCTTGTAATTTGATTTCTTTATTTATTATTCATAATCTTTTTAATAAGGTAGTTAGTATTATTATTATTTTTGCACTCAAATTAAAAGAAAGAAAAAAAGAGATAGTTCTAATTTTCATTAGATGAATAAGAGAAAGTGAGGAGGTATTAAGACGTTAAATTCTTTTACTAAGAAATTTATGTTGTATTGTTATAGGAGTAGTTTTGTTAACAAATTATAATTTATTAACTTAAATTTTTTGGTTGATTGCTTGGGGAGAGATATTAGTGAGAACGATTTAGGTAATATTTTGTTCGAGTATTTAACAATAATCCATTATATTCAATAAATGGAAATATATATATATATATATATATGAAATTTAAAATAGTAATTTTTTTATTCTAATGTTAATTGATAGTTTGTTAACATTTTAATGGGTAGATTTTCAATAAGGATTAGTTACATGTTCATTTGCATTAACGAAGTGAGGGTGAGATGAATGCTGTCCATTTATTTTTAAAATATGGTTTGATATTACATCGGTTATTGGAAAATATTAGTTAAAATATTATTTTAGTTTTAAATACTTTAGCTAGGCTGCATTTTGGTTCTTATATTTTGTATTTTAAAAATTTTTTTCGAAGTCCCTGTTTGCAAAATTTTAATCTATACGGTAGAAAATAGAAAGTCAAGTCATTTCATGAGTAAAGTATAGTTTTGAAATTGTGATAGAAAAAATGAGAATTAAAATAAAATTAATGAATTAAAATAATCACTTTTGAAAGGTACACAAACTAAAATAATACTTTATTTTAATAAATTATATATAGACACCGTTAAAGATTATCTGCTTTAGACATAATCTAATCCTTGTAGCTTTTTTATTGGTTTCACCTAAAAAAGATTTCATATTAATGGAGATAATTGTTCTCTCTTCTCTTTATATTCTCTTTATATACCATGGATCATGCTCTTAGTGGGACTTTGTTTGTATTTTTCTTGCAAACAGATTAAAAAGATTAGAGATCGAATCGAATAAAACTTATATTTTAAAAAGATTAGAGATGAAATCGAATAAAGAGGTAAATATTATGGATTGGATTGTTAAAATTTATATAGTTAATTAAGAATTGAAATGGATTTGCAGTTAGGGAAAATGGTTGGTCATGCTGCATATAAGGGACCAAGCATAATAAAGGAGATTGTGTATGGATTAGGGCTGGCCTTAATGGCTGGTGGCCTCTGGAAAATGCGCCATTGGAATGAACAGAGGAGGACCAAAGAGTTTTATGAGTTACTCGACCGAGGTGACGTCGGGGTTGTAGTTCAACACGACTAAATCCTCGTGAAAAGTACAACACGACTAAGTGCTCGTGAAAAGTACAACACCACTAAGTGAAAGTATTTTTCAGTGAAGCTTTTTTTGTTCGTTAAAATTTTTTAGTTCATTTTAATTTCTGTATTTTAGAAAGGGAAAAAAATATATGTCGGTAGAATAAATTCTCCTTCTACCACTATGCAACCATCACCCTAATAATTTGAACCTAAAATAAATTCTTTTCAATTTGTACGTATCACCTTCATAATTTGAACTCGTCTATTAGTATAATTGTCCCTGACAATTTCTAAAACTTATTTTTCTTTTTAATTTATACGTTGTTAATATTTTTTCTACAAATTATTACTATTATTATTTTGATATCTACAAGTGTTCGAACCAAGTTACATACACCTCAATTATTTACATTGTCGTTTAATTTTATATGATATATTTCATTTATTCTCTATAAATCATCAAATTTTCTAGATTCGCTTGTTCTTTCATGTAATTTTGAATTTTGAATTTTGTAGAATCGACAATTTAGAGAATAAATTTTTTAACTTTTATGTATTATGAATTTGGTATTATTTTTAAAATATAATAGTTAGTTAAACAAAAAGAATCCTCCAACAAAAATTATGGATTTTCCACTGCTTTGTTGTAGACTATTTCAAGGGTTATATACTTCTTTTGGCCAAAAAAAAAAAAAAAAAAAAATCAGAGAGTGAATTGATATGGTGTAGAAAGTGAGTTGAAAGTTCAATTTGAATTCAAATCAGCAAAATCTCCACTTCTTGAAGGCAAGTTAGAGGAAGAACCTGAGTCTGTTGTTGATGTGGCAGAAGAAATTTCCAGTTTGGAAACTGCATGAGATACCAAGCTGCTAATTCTGCAAGACCTTCTTGAGGGTCCACATGGATTCAAAAATGGAGGCTGTTTTGGGATCTCAACCTCCCTTTCTCCTTCACTGGTTAGCAGTTTCGCTATCGCCACCATTGACGGTCTCAAAGAAGCTTGGGCTTGGGTGCATAACAGCCCTATTTGCAGAACATCCATGGCTTCTCTTGCAGGGAAATCATTATTCAGGCAAGGGTCAATGGCTTCAGCTATTCTCCCTGATTTGTACAGTTCCCAAACCTGTGGCCAAAAATGAAATACAAGTTGATTAGCATCTGTTATGTAACAAATTTTGAACCTACATTCTCATTTCTTGTTTATATCCCCTCTTTTCAATAAATAAAAATAGAATTTTGTTACCTCCAACACCAACAAATTCAAGAATGATAATACAAGATTATTTATGTTGGAACAAATTGAAAATCGGAACAATAAACAAGAAACTCGTTTTTAAAAAATGAGAAAAAACATAAATTGAAAACGAGAAGTTTCTTAAAAATGAGAAATAAAAAACATAAATTGAAAACGAGAAATGAGAAACGAGAATCGTTTCTGTTTTTTTTCAGAAAGAAAAGCAATAAATATATTTAGCAGTTGTTTCTTGTCTGTGAATCGCGAATAGTTACAAGAAGCAATTGCCAAACATATGTGTTTTAAAAGTGAGAAACGAACAGGAACAGTGTTAATTATTGTCAAGTTTCTAGAGTTGGTGAATTTTACAAGTATACTGCCATGAGTCTTACTGCTTGGAGGAGTGGGGTAGAGTTCTCCACAAATGAACTGTTTCTTCTGCCGCAAACGATCTCGAGTATCAGAACTCCAAAACTATAGACATCTGCTTTCTCCGTAAGTTGTCCTCGAACGAGATACTCGGGAGCCATGTAACCACTGCCCCACCAGATATGGAAAGTTGAGAGTTTTGAACAAAGTAATTGCAGATTAAGAAAAAAAGTTACTAAGTCGAACTCTCTTACAGCGTCCCAGCAATTCCAGTGCTAAGATGAGTCTGATCGGCAGCAAAATGCCGAGCGAGGCCGAAGTCAGCAATCTTTGGAGTGAAGTTTTCATCCAGCAGAACATTGCTGCTCTTTATGTCTCTATGGATTATTCTTATTTTACAACCTTCATGAAGATGTGCAAGCCCCTCAGCTGCTCCCACAATAATGTCGAAACGCTGCTTCCAATTTAGAATCTGAACCTTGTTCTTATCTGCATTGAAGAGAAGAAAGACGATGAGAAGCTGAAAGAAAGTACTGAAAGAAGGTTCAAAAGCACAAAAAGGTTACCGAAAATGAAGTGATCGAGGCTCCTATTCGTGATATACTCGTATACCAACAGACTTTCGGGCCCTTCGATGCTGCAACCTAAAAGCGTGACGAGGTTTTTGTGTTGGATTCCGCGGATCAAATTCACCTCGTTGAAGAACTCATCCACCCATTGCCTGGTATGAAAAACCAATCTCTTCACAGCAACAATCTGCCCGTTTGGAAGAGTTCCTTTATATACAGAACCAGCTCCACCTTGGCCTATCTTACTTGATGGGTTGAAGTAATCTGTTGCCTTTTCAAGCGTTTCATACTTGAAATTCAAATTGGAATCCTTGAAGGAAGTTGGAATAAGGGATTGTTTTTTCTTCTCTGGAAGAAAAAAAGAGACAGATCGATCACAAAACTTAGCTAAACCTGCTAAAAGATAAGAACCATGGACACAAGACACGGATATGGCAATGATACGTTTACTAAAATATATAATTTTAAAGCGGTATATAATTTTGATACGGGAAGGAAATTCAAAGTCAACAAGTCTATGCATTTTTATGCTTATAAAAATGAGTTGGTGTATTTTGCTCTCGAAATTTATTATTTTGTCCTATATTACTATTTACGTCTATTTCTTACATTTAACAAGTGTTCTATACGTGCTTAACAAGTGTCAGATTAGTTGGATCCATATTCACTTTGTAGAACTAGTGTGTGACATACATCTATTGAACTAACAAGTGTTGGACATGGACACAAACACGTTACCTAAATGCCTAACACATTGAAAATAATAGTATCCATCCATCCTTTGTTTAAATCTTGACAATCTATCTGAGCTTACCTTTCTTGAACTTTGATATTCTTGTATAGCATGCAAAAACAGCTGAAAGGGAGATGATCAAGGAGGCAGCTGAAGCTAAGACAATGGCAACAACAGCTCTTCTTCCAGAAAATCCTGAAACAAAGCATAAAAATAAGAAGGGAAAAAGAAACAAAAGGGCAATTAATCAAACTTAAGGAAACTCTAATATAATGGTTGTTATTTATGTTATCATGGTTCACACGGTGCAGAACACAAGAAACTCAGAGGTAAGATTCTCCACTTCCATTGAAGGAATGAAGAAGCTGTGAGTTTTTCTTTGATGTGCTCTGCTTTCGAGCTATGAGATCCATTGATTCTTCTTACAACACACATGAACTTAAAAAAAGAGCAGATTCCTCATTCCATAATCACTTTTCCCAAAAGTCAGAAACCAAGATAGAAACAGAATAGAATATCTCTCTCTCTCTCTCTCTCTCTCTCTCTATAAACAGAGTTTACGGAGTAACATGCACCAAAATTTGCAGTTCAAGTTTGAAAAGCAGCAAAAAAAAAAAAAAAAAAATCAATTAAGCCTTTTACCATCATCATCATCATCCGGTTGTTCTTGCCCATCATTATAGAATTTCACAGTCGAATACCTCAGATAACACCCAGCATTCATAGCCCTCCCTTCTGTACTCGGCAAGCAGTTTCTAATGCTCCTCCTCGCCTTGTCCAAGCAATCCCTGCACCCCGCAGGCTCAACGCTCCCCCAACACTGCGCCAAGGCATACACTCCATTGACCTCACCAATTCCAAATCCGCCGTCCGCCATGGCCGCCCTCGTCACAGCGCCAACAGACAGCCCTACATTCCTCACAAACCCTACCCTCTGAGTTCCGTCGACGATCTCGCCAACTCCGGAGGTGCAATTGAGGGAATCCGCAATCGGATCGGTGGATTCCTTGTAGAAACTGTAGTTGTCGTAGCGGAGGAAGCAGCCGTCGAGGAAGATGCGGGCGGAGAGGGCGGGGAGGCAGCGGGGGAGGGTGGTGCGGCTGGCGGCGTAGCAGAGGAGGCAATCGGTGTGGGAGAGGTCGTGGAAGCATTGAGAGAGGGCGAACATGGGAGGCGTGGAGTTGACGAAGTGAGTGGTCCAATTGCGAGTTGTGAGAAGCTCGGACATGGCTTCCATTTCTGCGATGAAGGTGGGGATGAATCTGGATTTGGGCGGCGCCTTCGAGGTTCCACAGTAGGTTCCAGATTCAGAGATTCGTGGATCGGACAGAGAAACGGAGAAGAAGAAGAAGAAGAAGAAGAAGAAGAAGGAAACTCCATAGCTTTGAGCTTGGTTTGAAAAATGAATGAAACTCATATTTTTGACTAAAAAATTCTCTCCTCTCCGTCTATAGATTGTTTGCCGCCACTCTATTTTGTTCCTCATTCAAACAATAATATTTATTTGACACCAATGATTGAGTTCAAGTTCTAAATGTCAGCTTCAAAATACAGTGCTCGGTAACGTTTGTGTTTCCCTGTTCTAATTTTCCGGTTTCCACAAGGGGAGTGTCTGGGTTCTCTTGATGAGGCAGAATCAATTGCGGGTGTAACTTACTAGCTTAATCACGTCTTCAGTTTTGATGAGTCTAAGCAAAAAGGAAAAAAAAAAAAAAATCAATTAAAGACGTAGTCACGGGATTCTATGTCTCCATTCTGTTTATGTGAAATCTAAACATTSGACAACTAGAACGTTATTAAATAGACCTTAAAGATATTAATTCTATAAAAATGTTGACTAAAATATCAATAAATGAATACTTTTACTTAAACCATAAAAATAAAAGTCAAAGCGACCATAGTTCAACGACAATTGACATAACTTCAACTAATTAAACCATTTTRTTTAAATTAACTATTGATACRTTGGTTTACAAGTTTGGATCCTATCTCCTTTTATTTATAATGTAACAAAAATTTAATTCTTTAAAAAACATTCATCAATTTTCTAGTAGCTTCTATGAATTCTCATTCTTCATCACTCAACTGCCAATTTAAGATCTTCACTCAAATAACAACAAAATGAGGTCCCAAATTCTCCTTTTCTCATTCATTTAGAAAGAGAGAGAGAGAGGTGTAAAGTCAAATGGGCCCTCCTAAATTAATGGCCTCATCCACCCACATTGTCCACGTGTCTTYTTCAACATCAATTAGAGTACTACATGTGGCCTCACAAATTAATTACATCTCATGGCTTTACATTTTGATATTATTTTAATTTTCCTATCTTCACAAATTTTTACGACCACTCAAATAATTTCTCTTCACAATACTATTAGTAGTCAAAGACGATAATACGCCCATATCGAATAATTGTAGGTGCAGCCAAAGCTATAACATCGACTTAAGCAATGTAAACATTGGTTCTCTAAGAACTCAAGTGTCCCTCGTAAAGTTTGTCTATATGAAATGTGAGYTAGGGTCTTACCACTCTAAGATTAAGTTGTCAAGTCACCCTAATGARGTATTTCTATAYTATTTTTGATTGGTTATGAGAGATCAAAGACGTCACTGTGTAGTAGTGATTATGTAAATATGTGTAACTRTCGTAGGGGGAATCAGARCCTGCCACATAGACACAGACCTATTTGCTTGGAAATACGTGTTTGGGCATCAACTTGGACAGGTCGAAGACGAGATGGGATAGACAAAGTCACCTGACTGACTCAGCGGAAGTCAATGTGACWTGAAAATACARATGTCGYCGCTGTAAAATTCGTTGAATGTCAGGTACGAAGGCYGACGTCRGTAGGACAATATTTTTCAAAACTCTCTTATATAATAGTCAGAGCTCATTCCTTTCAAAGTTACGTAATTTCTATGCAACCTGACTAAAATTCGACTCAACAGTAGCTCGAACTATGAACTAACCTAAGCTTCAGAATGTATGTGACCGAACACATACAGGTACAAGGTTCTCTTGGTAGGTCATCACCTCGACTGAACTTAACGTTCACTTTCGACCAAAAGTCGACCCAACTCGTCCTTCAGAATTATGCATCAACAGTATGTATGATAGGATTTTATGGCAACAAGATTAGTTTTGTTACGTGCAGTCACTACTAGCAAAATGGTCTTCCGTGACACTTGAGAATAGTTAAAAAGTTTGGAAGAAAAAAYTTATCATAAATCATGGGGGCGCGAAAAAATGCAACTTTTCATAAAWTTTTTGTTTTATGACAATTAARAACTGTGAATTTTCAATGATAATGAAAAACTGTTAGGAAGTATGATTTAGGTGAAATTTTAAACAGTCATTGAAGTCCGTATTTCTAGGCGCGAGTAAAGTTATATCTTCTCTGTCTTTTTGGTAAGTTGGGAACAGTTGTTTCAATAATACAAATACTTCCAAAATTCAGCTTTTTACTTGATGCAATTAGCAATTATGGTGTTTGGTTTGGGTAATGAAAGTCCAAAAGTTTTTAGCTGCTTTTGCTTCATAAATTCAATTGGGTCACTCTCATTCACCTAAAAGTTGGCTGTCATCCACATGTGAGAGAGAATGAGAGAAAAATTATTTTTGAATCACAATTCATAACTTGAAGTTTTTTAATAGCCAAATATAAAGTGCTTCCTCTAGAAATGCATGGAGAGTGGTTTTACATATTCTTAAAGTTTTCGAAATCACTTCTAACTAAGTAAAATACTATGAAAATTTAAGAAGGGATCTAATTTAGTTAAAAAGCAATTATCACCGTCTCAAAAAAGTCATATCAAACTCATTAAAATTATTTTAAAGTACACTTTGCAACAATCTTAAAGCACATTAAAATTACTTTTCAAGCACTATTCAGAAAGTTCGATGACACGAAAAACTCAATCAATTCAATCCAACTGAACTCATGCAGTTTGTATTAGTTGGTTTCAAATAAATGAAAATTCTATAATTAATTTCTAGATATTACATTGTTTCTATCCACTATTTTATGGTAAGGTGGTCAAACCCATGCCTAAATCAGAAGATCTAAGAGAAAGCTTGAGGTAAATTTTGAGCGAAAGATTTTTTCTATTAGCACTTTTGACGAAGCACTAATAGATAAATGTCATGAAAGTCTTAAAAAGCAAAAGYAGTTTTCAATAAAGATATATTCAGAAAATTCGATGACTCGAAAAACTCGATCAACCCAACCCAATTCATACAATTTGGGTTGAATTGGTTTCAAATAAAAATGAAAATTTTATGATTAACTTCTCGACATTAACCACACATCATTCTTTGGGCAGGTGATCAAATTCATGCTTAGATTTGAAAGATCTAAAAGAGAGTTCGGGATGAGTTTTGAGCGAAAGACTTTTTCTTTTAGTAGTTTTGATTCGATGAAGCACTAAAAATATCTTSAGGGTGCTTTAAATATAGTGAAAAATGTTATGAAAATTTTTGAAAAGTGATTTTAAATGAGCTAGTCATACAAAACTCATTAAAAGTGCTTTTAGAAAACTTTCCAATATTCTAGAAAGTTGTACAAATTAAAGTGGTAACCCACCAAAGAAGTCGGCCAAATGTTGAAGAATATGTGAAAATGTAGAAAGTCAAAGGGTCTCACCTGTTTAAAAGTGAATCATCGGAGCAGCACCCACTCTCTCAAAAGTCAATATTCAAATTAAACCAAATCAATTTATTTCTCTCCTTTTTCAAATAGCTGGATTATATATATATATTCTATACTTTTTTTATATCCATGAATGTTGGAGTCAATTTATGCATTCTTCGACTAATCTATATTTGGTTCCAAGAAAAGTCGTAAAAATTAATTTCTAGGTATAGGTGACTATCATGGAGTTCGAACTCATTTCATCTAAATCATTTTGATTTACTTTGGCTCATCCGGACAATGAGCCACACATGATGATTAAGTAATGATAGCTCTCTAAAAGAAGGTTATTTGTGCCAGAATTCCAAATAAATTAGCTAAGGGTAGCCATACTAACACCAATTTTAWACTGATTTTGTGCAAATAATGTTTTACATTCATTAACATCTTTACCTTATTAGACAATGCTGAGAGTTACGAAGAATGACCTAATTTTGAATGTGTTTATGTAGCATTATTGTTGATGCTGCAGCATCAGAATAAAAAATACAGAAAAAAAACAAAGYTGAYAGTGATAGATTTTTACCCGAAAATTTATTGCAGTAAAACGCAGATTCACCATTAAATTGAATTGGGCCTCGTTTAATCCAYTTTGGTTGCCCTAAAATTGAGGAGGGGTATAAATACTTTCATTTCAAGGTTGCCTCCATTCATTCTTATTATTCATCAAACCTCAGAGAGAACRAGACAAGAGAAGAGGGAAGACACTTAGAGAGGAACCCGAAGAAGACAACAAAGGGAGTGAAGGGCTGTTGTTTTTCTTCATTTTCTTCTTCTTTTGTTCTCTTAAGTGCATGAGTTTTGTATTTTCTTCTTCTCTTTTCTTGTATGACATTGTCTAGTTAAGTTTATTGTAAGGGGAGGATGTTGTGAACTTGTTATTGGGCTATAAATTTTCACTACAAGGAAAATGGGTTGCAGCGACGAAATTGTTTTCGTCGCTAATTAATGTTGCTGAAGACCTTTTTTGTTGTATTGTTTGTTTCAGTTTTTAATGATGATATATATACTAAGTTGAATACCTCTTTATTAGCTCTTGGAAAATTGTAATAAGGAGTATTTGACTTCAACTCGTGCTAGATCTACTTGAGTTTAGAGCGTGGGTACTTAGGAATAAGGCTCACTTAGTAAGGTTATAAACTGAGTATATATGCTATCAAGTTTATCTAAAAACATGAATAGCAGAAAATCTAGGAAATCTGGAAAGATTCCGTGTCTGTTTGACCAGATATTACATCGTCGATGCTGTAGCATTGTTTGCGTAAGCCTAGRAAAAGTTACATAAACTCTTCCCCTTACCCTTTTAAACATCAGTATTTAATCTCTTATTTGCACACTTTCCTTTAATCGATTTGGTTATGCTTGGTTCTTAGTTGTTTTTACTCAGCAAATTATCAATCCATGTGGATATGATCTTTTTATCACTTGCTACAACGGTTGTGTAYGCTTGCACAAAGACATTTAAACCGTACCAACAAGAACTAGAAATTAGTTTCGAACTCACGACCTTTTGACCRAGTATAGGTGCCTTAGCCCGAGTTATATCCCGATTGGCTAGGTCCGTGAATTTAATACTTACCTGATATGTTTAATATTGTATTATTTAAGGATTATACGCAACGTAGTGAGTTAATTTTGAACGGGTTTAAAGTGGTATTTTGTGGCATATGCATTAAACTGATCGAGTTTAYTGTAGCTATGTATGAGACACAAAATTTTATTTTGAAAGATTCTAATAAAATATTTTTAGTATAGAGGGACTGAGTAGGCACAACATTAACCAACTTGCATAGCTTAACTAGTTAAGATACTTATCTCCTCCTAAAAAGTCTACCGTTCGAATCTTCACCACACATTGAACTAAAAAATAGACACAACATAAGAGTCTATTTGGTATGAAATTAGAATTATGTTTTT